GTAATTAGATGCGGTTGGGTACGAACATTTCGTGCCAGATTATCCGCTTTTGAATTTGCACGTCGAGAAATCAAAGATAAAGAGAAAAAATCAAACTCATCCTTGTCGCTCTGAATAGCCTCTAGATAGGTAGAAAAAGCTGGCCACTGTGGATGTCGGATTCACACACTCAAGTATTTTAATTAAGTAGGAAAGATTACTCTTGAGGGACAAAAATGAATATGTAAGAACTTATGAATTGTTACGAAAATTGCTATAGTATTTCTTTCTTGAGAGGAAGATCCGGGCTTACATGGCCATTGGCCTTTGTATTTATACATAGGAAAACGACATTAAAATGGCTAATTAAGTATAATTATTCTCTCTTAAATGTGTCCGTTTTGATATTTGGCTTTAATGCTTCAACGTTTGAATTTGAGTTGACTCTGATCTTCATGGGCCCCGCCTTTTGGCCCAAATGTCCTTAAACCGACTCAACCGTGACTTCGATGCCGGACTCATGCCAAAATGCAGTCACTTCGGATTCTCCTTGTGGCGATACCCACTTCGACTGTTCCTTTGGCTCACTAATCCGACGGGCTTTATCCTTTATGGGTCTTCATTTTGTCTACGTGGCAATCTTTGGTTGGTCCCGGACTTCTGGTGCGGGATCCGACACCAACAATTAGCCCCCCAAGTTCTTCGAAGTGTCATTCCAATTCGGAGAACTTTAAATGCTTAAATGACCAAAGATTGCGCTCGAGAATCTTTCTGATTTCCCGCCGAAAATCTCATCACTCCTTTAATTTCGGCACTAGCCATTTCTACCCGAGTGACATCTGTCATCATTATGACCGTATCTTAATTATTTACTATTAAAGCGGAAAACCTTTCCACTTCCCCCACGATTCCCAAGGCGGTTTCACCATTATCACTTAACTTCCGTGAGGTAACTTCTTTCATCATTACTTCTTTTACTCTTACGTTTTTAGCCGAAACTTCTCTCTTCTCTTTCTTCGCCGACTCTTTCTTTGCCAGATTTTAAATTTCTCATCTTCTCCGATGACTTCTAACTCCGAAAGACCCGAGTCTCCATCCTTTGAAGGTGGGTCTAGTAATGACGAATGCACTTGTCCTAACGATATCGCTGGTCCACACTACAGATCCACCTGTACTCTTCAATCGCTAGAGCGATTAAAGGGGCTTTGCCAGATCCCCCCCGGAATCATAGCGGAAGCGCAGATAGCCGACCCTACGGAGTCCCCGGAAAACCACCGTGATGGCTATTTTTGTGTCTATGAAATCTACTTCAAGGGCTGCGGATTGACTTTCCCTCTTCCCGAAGCCTTAGTTCGATACCTAGCGGCTCTTGAGATCGCTCTACCTCAGTTAACCCCCAATCTCCTCCGAACTATCCTCGGAATCATAACCGTTGCGGCGGAAGCAGACTACATTATCGGGGTCCCCGAACTGAACGAACTTCTAAGTGTGAGAAGTTCGTCAAAGAAAACAGGATACTTCTCGGCATACCCAAATGCCAATAGAAACGTCATCTCGCACCTCCCGAACAAGGATGAAAACTGGCACCATCCTTGGTTCCTGATTAAGAAAACTCCTGCTTCGATTGGGAATCTTTCCGATGTACTCCCATCGAAGTGGTCTACGAAGCCTGGTAGAGACTAGGTCGTATACTCCTTTCCTGGTCGTTTTATTTTTTTACTGACCAAATTCGTTGTTTCACTTCGCAGCTCTCATCGCTTCAACTCTCCCGACTGAAGAATTTGTCAAGTTCTTCAAAACAATCCTCGAAGGGGAAACCCTTTGGAACTCTTTCACCCTCGATCGGTTTGTCGAGGCCAACCGAAAACTCAGGATGAGTCCTCCCAATCTACTTCATCGTCTTCCGCCTCCTCCCTCAACTCAGGGAATGTCAGCTCGGGCCCTTACTGCCCAGCGTAAGAAACTCTCCAAGCCGATAGCAGAGGCTTGTGATGAAAACAAGGCGTTCCTTGCGGCCGCCATTGACAAAAAAGATTACAGCAGGACCCTGCTGGTTGATGATAACAGCACCGAGGGAGCCAGATCCGTTGCTGCTTATAGGTTAACACCTCGTCGCGAACGTCATGACGAACGTTCTCCTCGGAGAGAGCGATCTCCTCGTCGTGATTCTCCTCGTCCTCCCCGAGACGATTTCAGCAATGAACCACTTAAGAACTTGGTTCGTAGGAAGAGGGACAAGTCATCCCGTAGTGACTCGTCTCCGCGAAGGGAGAAATCAAGGGCCCGGACTGACCGTTCACCTCGATCATCCCCTCCCACTGAACCAATGGGTCCTCCCCGATCTGTTGACATGTCTTCTTCTTCCCAGCCCGACAGCGAAAAGACTGCTCGGAGTGCATCTCCTAAAAAGGGAGATTCTGAATCTCGAGATGCTTCCTCGAGGTTAAAGCCCGCTCTTGTCCCTCAAGTCAAATCGCTTTCAGGTTTGGTGATTTACACATACTCAAACGTTTTTGTCTCTATTAAGATTCCAATTTTTACAACTCTTCCTTCTTCGCAGCTATGGAGAAAGAAGGCAGCGTCTTCCGATGCTTCAAGACCCGATCTGGTTCGATCTTGCCAGACTTCGACAAGTGGCGCCCTGCGATTCGTGAACGCTATTTGCTTCACGCGCACCACTCATCTGGGGTTAGTTCCGTTTTTGTTTTTTTTTTTTTTTTTTTTTATTGCATTGCCATTCTGCGAACTGACTCGCCATCCAGGGTTTATGTATAATGCCAGGCTCACGGCGAGCTTAACGACATGATTGAACATTACGAAGGGTTGGTCATCGGACGGGAGAAGGAGATTGACATGTGGAAGAAGAAATTCTCTGCTCTTGAGGCTGAACTCAGTTCTTCTACCGGCTCCAAGCACGATCTGGAGGACAAGGTCGACAGTTTAACATCCGAGCTTGCGAAGATAAAGGGGGAGCTGCAAGACCAGTATGACCGGAATTACAAACTCTAGGATGAACTTTCTGGTGTTCAGGGTAGACTTTGTGAATCCGAATCAACCGCCGATACCCTGAACAACCAACTTATCGAGCTTAACGCGAAGTACAAGGCGATAGCCAAGTTGCGTGATTCCGAGTTGGCAAGGTTGGCATCGAAAGCCAGAAAAGATGTTAAGGGACGCGGGATGGAGTTGATCCAGGGGGCCATCCGCTTCATTCAAACCGAGAAGGCTAGGTCAGATCTGGAATCAAACGTCAAGGAGCACGAGAGCAACCTGATTCTGTTGGATCAAATCCATGATGCAGATTTCTCCGTGGTGCAAGAGAGGGCCGAAATGTCGGCTAATCTTTCTGAAAAGCGGAGTCGTTTGGCAGCTCTTCCCGCTTCGACTTTTAACCCGCAGGACTTTGAGGAATTCTTCACAGAATCGCCTCCTATAAGTGAATCGGGTCTAGACTGGGCAGGTAACCTTTGGTTCTTGACACTTACTACCTTTTTCTTGCCTTATATTTTTTTTAATTGATTGGGACCGTATTTCCTAGGTTCAAGTGGGACGGAAGACGTCGTCCCACCCGAAGTTCCTGCGGCACCGGAGGTCACTCCGGAGGATGGTTGTACCGTGGAGGGTGGTCCAGGAGCTTCATCTGATCAAGCACCAGTTAAGGAGGCGAGTGAAACTTTGACAGCTGAGCCGGAGTCCGAGGTGGATGTCGATCCGTAGTGGCTGTGTCCACTTTAAACTGGGGATTGTCCCATTTAGTTTAAACTTAATTTCGAACTTGTTTTTGCCTAAGGAGGCTTTATCATTTCTTTTGAACAAGATATTTGCCTGAGGAGGCTTTTAAACCTTTCTAGGTTATGACCCCAAGGGGGTTTGGTTAAAATTATATGCGGGTTTGCAAAGTCCGCTTTTAACCTTCTGTGGCCTTGTGGTTATGCTTTTGAGATTTTTAGGCTGATCAGACCTTTCTCTTAAGAATGCGAGAACTGAGCTCGGCTTAAAGCGAGTTGCCCACTTCGGGTTTAGTCAACTCGATAAATTTATTGGGCTTGGGCCTTAGAAACTTTTGTAGTTAATGCGACGGTTGCTTTTTCCCTTCTTATTTCTTAAAAGTAGGGGAAACGGCTCGTCTTTAATGCAAAAACTGCCTTTTCTCGATTTTCCAAAAATGGTTTAAACCACTCGGGCACACTACCATTATTGGATTTATGGTTCCAAGACAAACCCTAAATCATTATAAATAAAGGCTTACCTACCTCTAAGCTTTATTTAAATACGTTTTTAGAATCTTACTTGAGAAATATTACGAGAATGGAAAACGAAAAAGTAGCCCCCGTTGATCCCGGCAGCCCACTCTTCTTGTCCGGCGACGGCTTTGAACCGGCCGGCGTTCTCTTCCCTCACGCCGTCTTTCACTTTCCTTCAAAGGAGAAAAAAGAGGCTTGCGACTTTATTGACAAGGTTAATATCTGTCGTCTTTGATTAAAAACTTTTTGTTTCATCTTATTCATTCATCTTTATGCTAGGTTGCCGACAAACACCGTCGCTTGTGTGAAGAGAGGCAGCGGCTAGGCCTCAAAAGGCAAAACACTCGAGGCTCGCATCGCTCGGGTGGAGAGGAAGATACGGGCTTTGGAAAGTGATCCCTTTCAATGGGAATGGCGGAACTTTGATTCTGTCGCTGAGATCCCGAAGATGCTTCGGATGTATCTCCGCGCTAAAGGAGTCCCGGGTCCCGTGAATGCCCCGGTCTATACCGTTCCATCTGACAGCGAAGAAGAAGACGAGGAGGAGGCCAGCACCTGTCGGAAACGCGTTCGGGATCATCCCGAAGTGGATGCCAAGAACAAGGCGTCCACTTCGAAGATTAAACCGGCGATGAAGGAGCCTGTTCCTGAGCCTCTTCCATAAATGTTCTCTAACTTCTTCACTTATTTTGAACTCTTAATGGGCTTCGGCCCCTTTTTATTTATGGAAACATTTGCAATTTTCCTTACTTTTCAAATATTCTCGGAGATGCGTCTTTTAATGCAGGATCTGTTCGAGGGCATAAATCTCTCCGCGAATCACTCCATTCCTAGGATAGAATCCGCAGCTGACTTAGGAATATGACATTCCTATAAATTACAGTCTCAACTTCTCTTTTCTCCTCACCGTTCTTTTTCATTTTAACAGGCATGGAGTTCAACCTTCGATGTTCAGAATCTATGCCCGACTTCTCCAGGATCGGAATGATAAACGAAGATGTTCCAAATGAGCCAAACAGGCAACCTCCTCCACCTCACGGCTTCTTCAGATCTCAGATCCGAGCTCCATGTGCTTTGATCAGGGATCTCCCCATTAGAGACCAAGGAACAGCGATGGCATTCATAGAGGCACTCGCGCTTCAACATCGGAAGCTTACATTGGAAAAGAGGAGACTCCAGAAGAGAATTAACCGGATGCAACGCAGGCTTACTACGGTATCAAGAGATCTCCACATCCTTGAATCTCACCCCGGAGAATGGATAGAACTCGGAATCTCTGACTTCGCTCGAATTCCAGACTGCATGTTGTCAATCCTTGACCTTGCTGGCCAAGGAGTCGAAGTGTTTTGCTCGTCAACAAGATCTCCATAATCCGAAGTGTACGATGAGGGATATTTTGCCTTATTTGCTTGAATAAACGCTCTTTTTCCAATTTCTTGTATGTTCGCATAGCCGAACTTTTATTTGCTTCATTTGTTCGCACAGTCGAACCTTTCCCTTTAATACAGAAATAAAACAAATTTTTATTAATAGCTGAACTCGTTTCCGAGCTGCCTACGTACCCATTTCGGGATCAAGCCACACCGTAGTTCATGTACATATAAAATGCGTGTAGCTTTAAACATAAAATTTCTTTAGGTTGATCACATTCCAAGGTCGCTTGACTGGTATGTCTTCTAAGTCTTTCAGCCTATAAACACCGTTTCGAACCACTTCGGTAACAATGTAAGGTCCTTCCCAATTTATACCAAGTTTACCGGCGCCTTCTTCTTTTTTATTGTCAAAAACGCGCCTTAACACATAATCTCCCACGAAGAACGGCCTACTTTTGACTTTAGAGTTGTAATATCGGGCTGCTGCCTGCTGGTAATTCTGAATCCGAATCAAAGCTTGATCGCGCCTTTCATTTATGGTATCCAGTGAATCATTAAGCATTGCTGAATTTTCTTCCTCATTTAATGGTGCTTCTGTTCGGCGAAGTCTGGGCACGTTGAGTTCAGCTGGTACTACTGCCTCCATGCCATAAACCAAAGAGAATGGAGTTTCTCCGGTAGGTCGCCTAGGGGTTGTACGATAGGCCCATAGGACGGGTTGGAGTTCTTCGTACCATCCTCCCTTTAGATGATTCAATCGTTTCTTGAGATTGCTCAATATCGTCTTGTTCGCGGCTTCAGCTTGACCGTTTCCTTGCGGATATCGTGGTGTAGAGTAACTGACTTTGATTCCCCAGTCCGCACAAAAGGCATCAAACTCTTGTGAAATGAATTGTGGCCCGTTATCGGTGACTATTTCATACGGAACTCCATGTCGACATATAATATTCTTCCAAATGAAAGTCTTTACCGCCGAATCCTTGATGCCAACATATGCCTCAGCTTCAATCCATTTCGAAAAGTAGTCCGTCAAGACCAAAAGGTATTGTACACCTCGAGTTGATCTGTGAAATGGTCCAATGATGTCCATTGACCACCTCATAAACGGGTACGGGGCGGAGATGGAAGAGAATAATTCCGAAGGTTGATGGATCAATGGTGCATGGAGTTGGCAGCGCTTACATTTTTGGGCAAATTTAACACAATCCGTGATCATAGTGGACCAATAGTATCCCATTCTTTTAACTTTAAAAGTCATAGCTCTTCCTGATGAATGACTCCCACATAATCCTTTATGCACTTCGCTCATGACGATTTCGACTTCGGGCCCAAAAATACATAATAGGTAAGGGTCACTGACACCTCGTCTATATAACGCATCCTTCGATAGACAAAATTTCGCGCTAACGATTTTCATTTTCCTGGCCTGCCACTTATTCTTTGGGAGCTCACCTGTCATGATGTAGTGTTTTATTGGCTCCCTCCAGTCAGCCCCCCAGTCTTTAGCCGGAATTTGGTCAACCTTGTGAAATACTCGTGGCTCTGGCTCGGGATGTTCGTTTGGTTCAAGAACGTTTTCCTCGATTAACGGCTCGGTTTCTAATATCGCTTCTGGAATCACATCTTCTGCTAAGACGACGGATTCCTTGTTAGATGTGTTTGATCCCCTTGACTTCCTCCGTTTGTTGGGCGGAGGTTCGATCTCTGATTCGCCACGATCACGTGCCGCTGCTCGAGACCTTGTAACGACGAGGGTTTCTTTGTTGTCTTGAATGCTTCGCTCCGAAATGCATTCCACTGGAATAACTCTCTTTATCTCAGGATCTGATGTTGACGCCAACGCGGCAAGGGCATCCGCAGTTGTATTCTCCCCCCGAGGTATGCGAATTAATTCGAATTTCAAGAAGTTTTTAGATAGATCCTTCACCACTTCGAGGTATGCTTCCATTCTTGAGTCCTTAGCCTCATAGTCTCCATTAAACTGGTTAACTACTAATTGCGAATCGCAATAAGCGACTATTTCCTTAGCTCCAACTCCTTGTGCCAATCGAAGTCCGGCAATCAGGGCTTCATATTCTGCTTCGTTGTTGGAGGCATTGAATAACAATCGGAATGACTGTTCTAGAATTTCTGATGTTGGAGACTCCAACTTGATCCCCACTCCGGATCCTTGTTTTGTCGAAGACCCGTCAACATGTAATTTCCAAGTTTGGTTCTCCGGTTGTTCTATCGTTCCAGGTATTGGTAGTTCGGTCAGGAAGTCTGCTATGACCTGAGCCTTCATACTGATCCGGCTTTTGAACTCTATATCGTACTCGCTCAATTCCACCGCCCATTTCGCCAAACGTCCGGACTGACTTGGACTATGAAGTATTGTTCGGAGTGGCTGGTTGGTTAATACTTCAATTGGATGGGATTAAAAATACGGGCGCAGCTTCCGAGCCGAGATCACCACCGCGAGTGCTAGTTTTTCCATCATTGTATATCTGGTTTCTGGATCCGTCATTGACTTACTTACGTAGTAAATCGGCTTCTGTTCCCCGCGGTCTTCCCGAACCAAGACTCCACTAACCGCATGGTTTGAAACTGATATGTACAAATAAAGCTTTTCATCCACTTCTGGCTTGGACAATATAGGTGGAGTGGTTAAGTATGCCTTAAGCTGCCCAAAAGCTTCTTCACACTTCTCATCCCAAAGGAATCCTTTGTTTCCTCTTAGAATTTGGTAGAAAGGTAACGACTTATCTGTTGACCTCGAGATAAAACGATTCAAAGCCGCGATCCGCCCAGTCAACCGTTGTACTTCTTTGAAGTTTCTTGGAGATGGCATGTTTAGAAAGGCATTAATTTGATTTGGATTGGCCTCAATTCCTCTTTCTGTCACAATGTAGCCAAGAAATTCTCCGGATGGGACTCCGAATGTGCACTTTGCCGGGTTCAGCTTCATTTGATATTTATTGAGAATATCAAAACATTCCTCTAAATGTTTGACGTGATCCTCTTTCTTCAACGATTTAACCAACATATCATCTATGTAGACTTCCATTGTCTTCCCGAGGTGATTGTGGAACATTTTGTTAACCAACCGTTGGTAAGTTGCTCCAGCATTTTTCAAACCAAAAGGCATTACCTTGTAACAATAGATACCTCTATCTGTGATAAATGACGTCTTTTCTTGATCTTCGGGGTTCATCATTATTTGATTATAACCCGAGAAGGCGTCCATGAATGTTAACAGCTCGTTCCCAACGGTGGACTCTACAAGTCGATCTATATACGGGAGCGGGAAACTGTCTTTGGGACATGCTTTATTGAGGTCTGTGAAGTCGATGCAAACCCTATCTTTTCCATTCTTCTTTTTGACAACGACAGTGTTTGCTACCCATTCCGGGTATTGCACTTCTCTTATGGACCCTATCTTCAAAAGTTTATCCACTTCGTTATTTACTATTTTTGCTCGCTCCACTCCGAGCTTTCTTCTTTTTTGTTTCACCGGCTTGAAGCTCGGATCCACGTTTAGCTCATGACAAATTATACTTGGATCTATGCCAGGCATGTCCGCCGCGGACCACGTAAACGATGTTTTGTTTTTCCTCAAAAGTTCGATCAAAGCTTCTTTTATTTGGCCAGTTAAAGTTGCTCCAATTCGGACTTTTCGATCTGGTTTGTCTTCTTCCAATACCACTTCGACTACTACATCCTCTTTTTTCTGCCCACTAGGAAATTTTTGCCTTAGTCCTTCTTTTGCGGGCTTTGTTAATTGCTATTGGATCTTCAAACGGTGGCTAGCTAGGTAACACGTCCGTGAAGCTTCTTGATCTCCCCGAATTGTTTCCACCCCATTTGATGTTGGAAATTTGATACATTGATGGTATGTAGAGGGGACTGCTTTCATTCGATAAATCCAGGGAGTCCCGAGGATGATGTTGTAAGCTGCGGGCTTATCGAAGACAACGAAGTCCACGATCTTCGATACATTTTTGGCAAGGACCGGTATCTTGATTGTTCCGAGAGACATGGCTGACTCGCTTGTGACCGCAACTAATGGAGATGGAGGTCCTACTATGTCCGCTCGGCTGATTCCCATTCTTTCTAAAGTACTTAAAAAGATCAAGTCGACCGAACTGCTTGTATCGATAAGGATCCTTGACACTTCGAAGTTGGCAACATCAAGGGTAATGACTAGAGCATCATCATGAGGTCTTTCGAGGTGCCGCGTTTCTTCTTCGTTAAATGATATTGAGGCACCTTGAAAATCAACTTCTTCGCTCAAGCTTGCTTTGAAAATCAACTTCTTCGCTCCTAGAATCACATTGATCTTACCCTTCGAACTCCTTGGTTCTTCCTCGCTGGATAACCTTGGTGTTTTGGAATCTTGATCTTTAGAGTTTTCCCTTGCTTCGTGGTATTCCTTCACAAAATTTTTTATATCAAATTTGGAAAGATCTCCACTGGCCCAAAGCTCCACGAGGTGCCTTTTAAGGACACTACAATCCTTGGTTAAATGTCCGGTTACTTTATGAATATCGCAATATAAACTTTCATCGCGGACCCAAGTGTTTGACCTTCCTTTTCCTTGGAATTGCTTTCCGACAGTACTGTTGAAGGGTTGCGACCCAAATTTTCTTGGTCCTTTGCTCTCCCTAGGCTCGAACTTCTTGGTAGGGACGGTGATTGCCGGCTTTTCTTGTTTATTTCTTTTGGCAAAATTTTCTTTCTCGTCCTCTAATTCCATCCAATTGTTTGCGCGGAAGAGTGCATCCTGAATTGTGTCTGGTTTATGAAGTATTAAGTCTTCTTTAAACCTTGAATCATGTCGCAATCCTTTTCGTAGGGCAGATAAAGCTGATTGCTGTGAGATTCTTGGGAGCTTTGACAGCACTCCTTTAAACTTGGTGATGAAAACTCGAAGTGACTCATTTGATCCTTGCGATAAGTTCCAAAGATCGGCATCTGAAACGCTTTTATCCATAAGGATGGAATATTGCTTTAAGAATACGGCTGATAGTTCGTCGAAATTGCTGATCGAACCCGGCTCTAATTGGGTGAACCACATTAGAGCTTGGCCACATAGATTTTC